ATTCAGGAAATTATACTTGCGCGTGTCGTTATTGATATTGCATATTTTAACAATTTTTAAATTAATATGTCATGATGTATAAAATAACGCTATAATTGTTTTGTTTACCAAAAATAAATCACCCTTAGAAAATAAGAAATTAGTGTTGAGTACATTAAATGAAGTATTAATAATAGATACTAACTAACTGCCTAGTGTCTACAGTACAAAATATAATAATGTGTAATATTTAGCACACCGAATAAATAATATAACTATCTACAGAATGATTTATCAAGCATGCTTATTCTAGTTTTTTTCTTTAGTAATAAATTTAATTAAAATCTAATTTTTAACTTCTACAACTTCTATTTTTTTCTTTTTAACGAACGCTTACCACCCTTTAAAATATTATTAACAAATTATTTTTAAACGTTTTGTTAAATCAAAATCATGATTCATACCAGTAGCTTTTGAATTAATGAAATATGTGTACCTACCTATAGTAAGGATAAGTTTATGATAATTATCATTTTGGTGATTAAAATTATTTTTAATCTGTCAACATTAATAATAATTTTAAAAACAATTAAAGCAGTATAATGAATGTACTAGATTCAATATTATGTCCGTTTCATATTTTTGTACTACCACTTTATTTTTAAACATTATTATCTTTAGTATAAATATTTTAATAACTGAGATACTAGATACTCGTTCAAATTCTGAATTAGGTACATCTAAATTATTTTTAAAAGAATTATTCACTTAATAATTAATAGTAAGAAAGGGAAGTTATCATATTATGAAAACCAGAATTTTATCGCCACAATATGCTCCTTAAGTAGTACAAACTGCAAAATTCTAGAACTTAAAAAAAGAAGCCTGAGTATATTTAAAAATTCCGAAATCAAATTTTGAATAAATTCATTATCAACGAAGAAAATTGGGGATGAACATGTAAAGTAGACGTAAACTGGGCCCGCGATTATCTTTTTCGTCGTAAAATCATCCCGGAAATAAATTTCATATTTTCATGAAATACAAAAGGTAGTTTGTAAGCTTGATCCGATAATTTTTACTGATAAAAATTGATAAACATGATAAAAAGAATTAAAAAACAAAAATTATGCTTAAAAAGTATAAAAAAAACTAATAAGTATGGGYAGGTAGTATTATAGATGATAGATGAAATCAACACGGTGTACGACTAGAAATGGAACATATAATAATAATAATATGGACAATCGAGAGGAAAATAATATAGGTATTGAACGGACATTTTTAGGGGTAAATGGCGCTACAAAATCAAGATCATAATAATATTATATACCGTGAATATGAGTATTTAATTAAATATTTAATAGATTATATATAAAAAAAGTGTTTTAGTATTTTAGTATATAATTATAACATATGATAGACAGACATTTTGTATGCTATTATATTTCAAATGGATAGGTATATATTTTTCAGATTTAGAGGGTAAAAGAGTATATTGATTTTACAATGACGTGTGATTTTTATTTTCCGGTTTGAAAATACCAWATATATATCTAAATCGGAAAACATCAAACGTGCATTAAACATGAACATCTACAGATACTAAAATTTTGGTTTTGATCATAATAATTGAATATCAGGCATTATATAGGTATATATACGGGTATATAATAGTAAATAAAGTTAGTTTTACCTTTATACTCTGTATTTTTAATAGTCTGTAGATTTTGAATTATATTTTTTTAGATTGTTTTTATTGCTTTATTTCTTTTTAGTGCATTAAAATCCCACAATTTTGAGTATAATATATATTATTGTATAGCAATTGACTGTAGTAGCTAGCCATTATACATTTTATAAGTGACCCAAAGAAAAACACATATCCCAAAGAAGGTCACAGAAATATAATAGTAACTGATCAAAAGAAAAGTATTTTATAAAAAAAAAATTCATCACCCACATATTATGTTTTCGTGTGTTCATATAGGAAAATATTATATTTAATTCTAGGTTTAATTCTTTTATAATACGAGTATATAATGATGCCATTATATTTATAACAATCACAATTTTCACTTACTTTTCAATATCCTATAAAGGATAATTAATTCAAAGGTACCTACAACATCCAAAATATATTACCATTACCGATAATCAAAAAATGTTAACTTTTTAGATTTAACATTCATTGGTACATTTCAAACATATTATTATCAAATAATAATATATTTACTAAATTTTAACATATAATATTGAATATACAAAATCAAGAAAATGTATAAWATAAATAGACAAATAGTACTATAACTCAAGTTTCTATRGATCTATTATTTGCTTAAAAATGATTTATTTTAAATAATTATGTTATTTTGTAGGCTTGGTTATGTACTTTTTCATCTTTATAAGAATTAATTAAAGAAAATGATAGAAGCCTAAAGGTAAAATATATAATTTTGTAAAAATTGGTTTTTTTATATGTATACCAATTTGCCAGTGGCGTCAAAGTCGTTTTTAAATTATATTGAAAAATAAAAACTTATCCTTCTTAGAAATATTTTCCGTAAGATACACACAACGAAATTTTCAATAAAAGTCTGTTCTTATTTTTTAAACTTCAATAAATAGTTTAATTTCACTATTCAACTAAAAAAGTTGAAACTTGTAAGTGCATTTTTTCATACCTTATGGAATTTGTCTGCAGGTAATCTGCTCGTATATGAATTCAAAAATCACTGTCCAAAATATAATAGGAATATCATAWTATATATTATGATAATAAGGTTCATAATAGGTACCATCAAAATTCGTGCACAATCCCGCAGCGTATAATATTATASTTTGTTTGCAAATGGCAATATTAAGGRMAATATTTGATAAAAACTTTTTTTCCACAGAAAACTCAATTTTGAATTAAAGAACGCGTTTTTAACTTCATGTTTTTTTTTCATTTTATAACTATCATCGATCTAGGTTCTGAATGATTGTTAATTATTAACCATAATAATTTATGGCTAAAGTTTTCGAGATATTAAATTTKAAAACGTCTCAAAAAGAGTAGGTATAAAATTAGTTACGTCTTGTCGGTTGACAAGTAATCATAATTACTTTAATATTTTAATGGTTTATGTTGTTTATGATATAATTTATTAAGATAGATAATGAAATAAAGTATTTGAGTTTATTGATAGAAATACATATCTGGTTCGTTATTTTTTTCATACTTTCAGACATATTTTATACCTATATATATTATTAACCTAAATGTAAGGACCATTAAATTTGATCAAAAGCTATAGAATATAAGAGAAAAAAATACAATAACGAAAACATTTAATTATAGACGCTGTAGTGAGTATTAAAATTTATTATAAAATTATTATTTTAAAATTCGCTTAATCATTCGTTGTTTGGACATAAATTAATAAAGTAATACATGATATTTAGATTCGTGATGAGATTCAGCTAGATGTAGGTAATTGTTATGTGACATATGCATGCGTATATTTTACGTGTACCACCTACTATTCGATGTAGGTAACAAATTAATACAAATACATTTCATCGTAGTGCAGAATAATGTTTGCATTAATGTATAATAGTGGTATATTTTTATCTACAGATGTGTATGTATAATTGCCTAATCACATTTGACAATAAAAACGTGATTTAATGCACATTATTATTGAATATTAAATAAGCATCAACAAAATGTCGTAGAAAGTAATTTTTACTATTTTTAGCGGAATATTAACCTAAGCTAAACACATAAAAATATTAACAATACCAGTTTAATATAGAGTAGCTTGATTTAATACTCGATCGCGTAGTAAGCTATAATATCCTGCAATAAGTATTAATAATAATAATAATGTATAATGTACATGTCTCAAATAATGGGATTGTGTGAGTAATAAAGTGGCTGTACTAAAAACAATAACTTATATTATATTAAATTTAAATTAAAATTTTAACTTGTACAGTTTTAGATGATAAATATGAATAGCATAAAGAGTATCGGGAAACCACTACTATTAGCTAAGAGGATCATACTAGTTCAAATATCGAAGTAAGATGTGTATGTAAACATATTTAGTCATACAATTATAAAATTAATGTACATTAATCTCTTTTCAAAAATAAAAAATAAAAATGATACCTTAATTTTACCTTAAACGCTTAGTTCTAAAAACGTTATAAATCAAAATATGGATTGTATTACAAATATAAATTAATAAAAATAATTCAAGATATTTTCCATTGATTTTGGAAAAATGTTTTTCATATTTTCGTTAAGATACAAAAATACATTTATTTTTTCCATATATCGTATTTTTACTTTTTCAATTTTATGCTTATTAATATTTATTGTGTACCTATCCATACATTTTTACATAAAAATGTTGATATAGTCTAACAATTTTCATTTTTCACTAATATTTTTTAATTTACCATACCTGCAATAACTTTTTTACACAATTGCATAATATGGAAAATCATTATGTGTTTACTTCGAGTTTTTTGTAAATGCAATTAAATTTTTACACAAATAAATCAATAAAATATATTAGTATTAAACAGGTATTTTAGTTAACACAGTGTTAAATCAGATTAATAGCATCCCAATAAAATATAATATTGTCATTGTTTTTCCTTTTAGATTTTATTTTATATTGATTTTAAATTATAGTATTTACATATTTAATTGTTAAAAGTAAAAAAAAAAAAAATAATAAAGTGAAAAAAAATCTATTAAGAATGTGTTTACACATGACAAAACTTATAACATTCGTGTGTACTTAGTATTTTTTGGCCAACTTTGTTTATAACAATTTATACATCATTACTAGCAAAAATTGATACTATGATTTCATGATTCGATGGAAGAAATCACAATTTATTTGATCGATGCGCGTTAATAAAATATTGCCGTCTATAAAATACACCAAATATAATATTCACCCATAAAAATAATATTACCAAACACGACTGATACGCGAGCGAAATGAAAACGCACTTACCTTTCTTGAAATGACGAACGCTTTGTTGTGATCTTTTTTGGTTTTTCGGAAATGAGCCATCTCTTAAAATAAATGATTTACCTAATAATAATAATAATAATAATATTGTCGGACAGAGGGGAAAACGAGATTCTCGTCGTCGCGTTAAAGACAATATTATTATTATTATTATTCCAATGGCGTTATTATTATCGACAAATTAATAAGGTTCGGTGGGAACATGAAAAAAAAAAAAAAAAAATTGAACAGTATCCGACAATGACCGCCGTACCTACACACTCCTTTGTGTGTGTCGTCGATACGGATACGGATGTAACAGTCGAAGAAAAGCGAATGCGCGAGACTGAGCGGACACGGACGACTCGTCGTCAGCAGGGACGGACGGAGTTTAGGCGAGTGTAAAAATAGATCATCGCATCCGCGATAACGCTGCGCTTATTAGTGAGTGGTGGTGGCGACGGCGGCGGCGGCGGCGGCTTCGACGGCGGAGAGGGCGGAGAGGGTGGCTTCGCATAACGAGACGGTGGTGGGAGGGGGGATGCGAACGCCGTCGTAGTGTTGCGATAGTCTTTTTCTACGCTCGCAAAACTATAACCTGTCGCGCGCGCGTAATTATTAGATTTTTACAAAAATGTAATACTGGCGCGTCTGTCTATCATAATATTGTAGAGACAAAAAACAATTGGTATAGATAATGATATCATTTATAGATMAACAATGGTGGTCAAATGATTTTTTTTGTCATAGTGACTTGTGACGACGGACGAGTGGACAACGCTCATTTTTTAACACGCACTTTGATCTCTAAAAATATAACCCAAACATTATTAAAGCATCGAAGCATCGATTATTAAAGCATCGATTAAAAAAACTTCAGCTAAAAAGTTTTAGTAATAATTACGCGAAAATTACTAAATCGTTTAAAACCTGAGATGAATCAAGAATAACATAATTAAGCAATTTATAAATATTAAAGTTTTAAATTAACATTTTTATCATATTTTTGATTCAGCTGTAAAAGAAACGAAAACAATTATAAAAAKTTATATTTTATAAATTATGATAAAAATGTTTTATGTTTGAACTGATAGTTTAATATTTATTAGTTATTTCGTATATTTTAAACAAATATTGAAATATTTTCTTTTAGCCAAAAGCACATTTAATAAGTAGGTACAGCATATACATATGTAACTTGAATAGAGTTCATTGTTTAAATAGGTAAATATTCATATTTTATCAGATTATAAAACAATGTTTTATTGTTCCCATTATTTTTTTTTTTATAAAAATATCAATATTATTTAATGTTATTATAAAATATTAATATTAATAAAAAGGTCATGAGGGTATATCCACCGTCATCCCACAATCGTTTGACCACCCGTTTATACCATACCTCTATATGCTCTATACAATATAGGTACTTATACTTACACATCATCATATTATTACGTCTTACCACTGTTACCTATGTACCTACTTATTTATTTTCAGCACACAAACCATATAATATCTATATACAATAGTTAGTATTATGTGCATGTTCTATTGTTATCCAACATGACGGTCACTATAATATATCATTATTATTTTATTATTATTGTAATTATTTTTTATTTTATGTAAATTATTAATTTTTTAACATATTAATCAAAAAACATAATAGGTACTTAGTAGATGTCATGGGTACATTCCGAAAAAAATATCAATACGTGTGATTTTTATTAATTCGTGAAGCATAATGAAAATAATGTTGTAAATTTAAATTTTAAATTTTTTCTGAATATTTTATAAACATATTACATGCTTTTAACTATTCAAAAGCGTACGATTGCACGCGAAATAATTGGATCCGATGTTGCCAACTTATTATTAAAATTTAAAATTATTACTATAAAATAAATTTGTTATTTGTCGTATAATATGTTGTTGTTGTATTTATTTCTAATAATATAAACGTGCGTTATACAACAACTAATCAGTCAAAAATAGTACAAATAGTTACAAAAAATAACAGATACTTTATATTCACACTCAGCCTACCGCATAAGTAAAAAAATATTCAATAAAAAAAATCGTTAAAGTAAAATAATTTAAATTTTAAAGCCCTGATACTCGTTTACAATTACGGCTAAATACTTAAGTAAGTTTTCTGGTGATTTATTTTTTAGATATTCTTCGTATTGTTTACTCATAAATTCGATTTTCTTTAGTTCTTCCTTTGATTTTGGCTATTGATTATTCCTTTGGAAATGGTTGATAATTTAGTGACGGTTTCTGTCTGAGTTTCCATAAGGATACTTATAACAACAAATGTCGGTGGATGAGCACTAGTAAACTGGGCGTTAAATGTTCTATGGAAACTTTCAGCCCCGTTTGTAGCTAAAACACGAACACGAACACAACTGAAATTTCAATAAATACGTATAGACATACAATGCGAGATCATAGTTTARGTATATTCGTWCATGCATGCAAGGGAATTTACAATAAAGATACAAGATCCAATATAAAAGTATGATCTAAAATATAATTATACCTACTTCTTAGTGATGGAAAGTTTGTCTAGTATCGGCAATAATAAGTAATAAATAACGTCCGGATCGCCACAATCGGGACCTAACCGGATATTTACCGTGCACCAATAATCTGTATATTTAGAAGCAAAAATAATTTAACACGCGCAATTGTACACCTAAAAAGGTACCGTTGATAAGGACCGCGCGCAATCGTATTTCAGCCCCTATTTTGCTGTAGGTACATAGGCGCCGACTCCGCGGGGGCAAAGGGGGCAAAAGTATTATTTCGCCCCCGTGCCCCGTTGTGTACAATAATAATTATTTGGTTAAAATACCAGATTATAACATGAAAATAATCATTAGAACATCGACGATTGTATATTTGTATATTACCTAAATATGATCTATAAATACTATAGATCGCTCGACGCTCATTACTATTTGGTTTTATATTTTGTCTAAAAATACATCTGTCATTTCAATTTTTCCCGAAATATAGAGACGGAACTGATTTTATTACCATTATAGTATATAAACTAAAAATTTTCAATTCAAATAATATTATTTATAAATTATAAACAAATATATTTATAGCACCCCAGAGGAGTATTAAAATAGAGTTAAGGGACAATTTGGTAATTACTCCTCCCGGTAAGTAAACTTCAGCATACTATAGAATTTTTTTTCACTTAATACAAGAGTTTGCCCCCGCGCTAATATCTAAAAGTCTGCGCCTCTGTGTAGGTAAACACGTATTTCAATAAAATATTAATTGAAACAACTAATTTATATTTTGTTTATTTGACATTAAATTGTTTGTAATGTAAGGTCATTTTTAACCAATATTCACAGATTATAATATAGATCTCTACTTTTTTGGTGAACTTATCTTACTAAGGAGATTTGGGAAATTTTGTTTCCATATCGTCGAAATGGAAATGTGTACCTATACAGAGGCTGCAGATAATATTTACGAATAATGTTTACAGTCTACTTAAAAACAGTAAATTATTGTTATGAAATATATTTTTCTGAAAATTCTCTCCGTTAATTTTTCATTTTAATATATAATCCCCCGTCGGCCGTTTTTGCCATTGGAGCTAGCACCGAAGTTCTGCATAGGCAGAACGTATAATAACAATATGTAGCACGACCCTTTGGAAATGTGTACTTACTACCTACTCATATTCATTTGCACATAAAAAAAAAAAAATGTAATTAATGTGAATACCAACCAACTACGTTTATACATACAACCTAATCGATCGACGTGAATCACAATTTAAAGGCACCGAATATTGGTTCTTATTGCCTAAGGACCCGTAAGCGATTGAATGTTTTTATAGGCTACAGAAATATATTTTCATTCTCGCCCGAACAGTTAAAAGTAGCCGGCGGTGGTTAAACTTTATCCTGTTGTCACTATAGTGACTTTTCAAGTCAAATTAAACCCCGTCACCACCCATACTTACCGTTTTCAATAAGATTCAGGATCAAGAATTTCGAATTTTGTGTACTCGCTCGCATAACGTAATATAAAGGATTATTAACTAAGCATGCCCCATTTTCCTTTTAATTATTTATTTATTAAAATATTCTGACTTTTGGATTTTCAAATATACTCACGAATCATATTTTAATATATGCTAAATAAGGAAGGAGCTTTCTGTACAAAGTTTTTTTTTAATGAGAAACCTACWTTTTAGTGTATAAATWTGATAAGGAGATGAGTTTTGAAAACTGTTATGTATTTGAAATCGAAATTCAAACGATGATTTTGTTAGTAGTTCAGTAWCTTAATTTTATATGACGTACTAAGGATACTACTGATATTAGTCCATGATAATATGTTTAAATCTTTAAATATAACGGAAATGATAATCCTATTATAGTCTATGGACAATGGCTACGATTATTAAAAAAAATACTAATTTGACAATAACTAAATTAATAATAATATAATATAATATTTACAATAATTTATGAGCATTTAAAGTTTAAATTTTCACGAACTTATAATACGAACGGATAATCATATAATATTTGATTATAATAATAGGTATATTATTTTTAAGATAAAAACGATTTTATAGTTCTGTTTATTCTAATCACTTATTCAGAATCCCTTCGTAAACTACGTGTAAAAATGACTAAGTAAAAAATATATTCGATCTTTAGGCACTATAAAGATGTGATATCATGAATAAATGCTAAGAATATTGAATTTAACTAAACTTGTTTTATTTCGATAATTTATTTACCTGGCGAGGAATTATTTCTTAAGTGTGATGAACAAAATAATTAAATGTCAAAGAACTATTAAAATATAACTTTTTATTATTTCAAAGATATTCAAATTTATATTTATATATTATATTYTACATGTCTTTCCTCACCAAGTAAATAAATTATGATATATGAATAAATGATTCATGATATCACATATTTATAGTGCTTAAAGATCTAATATTTTTTTTTACTTAGTTATTTTAACACGTAGTTAACGAATGGTTTTTGTTGTGATATCACAAATTTTTATTATCAAAGCAAATAATAATAATAATGATAATGTATCTATATTTTATCCATATATTATATAAGTAAATTCCTTTATTTTGAACTTTTTTATTTGTACAACTTATAGTTGGCAAATTTATAATCAAATAAATGGAAATATTTTTTCTTTAAGATAATAAATACAACTATTTTTATAATAGCTAACTTAGCTCAGTGTAAATAACTATGTTAGTTATACCAACGTCACAGTTGCACGTGACGTGCGAACACATATTATACGCAGT